TCTTCTGGCCTTAGGATCTTTGGTGGGGATGGAAGGTGGGTGAGGGAGAAGCTGCTGCGGGGCCACAGAGGTCTCTAGGTTTTGTAGAAGCAGAGCTCCTGAAGAACCGGCGCCTGTCTTACAGCAGAGGGGCGAGCCAGTGAGGATCCATGGAGAGAGGAGCGGCTCCAAGTCTGGGCAGGGCTGAGGCCAGAGTGCTTGGGAACAGCAGGGGCACATGTGGCTGAAACCCAAACAAGCAGCAAGTCTTTGTGCGACTCAAGGGAAGGGGTATGGATCTTTTGACATAGGAAGGGAGCCAGAGAAAGAACTGGTAGAAGAGGAATCAGCGGGCGAGGGTGGCTTGGGTGGCAGAGGCCAGGGCACCCCTGCATGGCCACAGCCCTGACCACACTGCTGAGGGTCATGGAGCCACGTGATCCAGCTCTTTGCCCCAGGCCTCCACCTCCCCGGCCGGCCGCTGTCGCCTCCGCTCGCCCTGCCCTGGATGTTAAGCCCCGGGGCTCGCTCTCTCAGCCCCTCCTCGGACATCTGTGAGTTCCCAGTTCCCAGTTCCCCGTCTCCACCTGCCCAGGTGCCACCACCCCTCCTGGCCCTCCTCCTTTCCGTCCTCATCCATCCCACAGTGCGGGCTCTTGGCAACCGGGCCAGGGGGACACAGTCTGTGGAACCTGCTCAGTTACTTACTCGGTCTGTGGCCAGCCATGCTAGGGGTGGGCGGGCTCCCGTGCAGCCCGGGCTTTGGTCCTAGTGCTGCCCCCTTGCTGGCTGGCGACCTTCGATCAGGCAGCTTCTGTGTTGGCACAGGTCCCACCTTGAAAGGGATGGCATCGGAGGAGGATAGGTGAGGAGGCCTCACCAGGATCCTGCAGGGTAGGGGCTGCTTCGGAGGGAACCCCAGGCTGGCAGCATAGCTCGCCCCGTGCAGAGCTGCGCATGAGCCCCGCCAGGAGAGGGGGACCCTTGCAGGCGTGTGGGGTGCTCCGGGACTCCCCGGCACCAGACTCCACTGCGGCCCAGGGGCAGAGCCTTGCAGGGCACAGAGCATCACGGAGAGGAGAGGGGTGGGTGACACGGTGGCTCCTCATGTGGCGTCTCCTGCCTTGGCCCTGGCTCCACTTGCAGGAGCGGAGTGACCTGTGTGAGGGGCTGATGTGGTGCCCAGCACGTGAAGGTCACCTGACAATGAGATGATGACTGAAATAATCCCTACCTTAACAATTAATGTGCTTCAGCATAACTAACAAGTGGTTGCCCTGGTCACCGCTGGTCACCGCCGCGGGCTGCTCTCCGTGAGGACAGCGCTGTGGGCGAGGCGCAGGACCGAGATGACCACCTGCCACGCTGAGCGGCTGCGGCCACTCGGGGTCCCTCTCCGGGCTGTGGGTCCCTGGGGCGGGCGCCGTCCTCTCCTCCCCAGGTAACTGCCCCGGCGGAGACAGCAAGGTGGGATGGAATTTACTTCAATTCCCTGTAACAGCTTGGTCTCCATTTTGAGATTACTTTCGCTGCAGGAACCCGTTTTCCTACTTGCAGCCGAACTGTTGCTTCAGTGGTTTTTCCTGCTCGGATGTAAGGTCCTGTGCTTCAGTTTGGGCTTGCCCTCCTGTCGGCTGCTCCTGCCAGGGCAGGGGCTCCCGCATGGCGTGGTCGGGGGGGCTCTGGACGCTGGCCCTTGGCCCGCAGAGCTCTGTCACCCTCAGCAGCCCGAGTGGGCTGCTTGGGAGGTCAGCGGCGACCCTGCTGTGGCCTGCGGAGGGGCCCGGGCCCTCTGAGCCGCCCTGTGCAGTCCACTTGCCGCTTAGGCTGTGTCTTCCCCCTGGTGTCTGCGGCCCTCACCAGCTCCTCCAGACCCACGTCCTCCTCTGCCCTCAGGAGGGGGCGCCTGGGCCTCTTCCCAGCTGTCGGCCACATGGGGAGGGGACACACAGGACGCGGCAGGTGGTCCACACGCCCCGCACTCCAGGCCTCCGTCTTCCGTGGGCGGCAGTGGGAGAGCTCCGTGAGCTTGCGGCTTTCCCAGGGAGAGCGGTCCGTCCCGGAGCTGCAGGCGCAGGGTCCGCCCCGATCTCCGATCTCCGGCAGGAAGCGAGGCCCTTGGCCTGATCGGGCCTGAGACGCTCTTCTTCCTGGCCTCAGCCTGGCTGACAGCCTGGCCGGGCGCGGACACACTGCGGGAGGGGCCGGCTGCTCCGGTTTGTCCCTAGCGCCTTCCAGTCCTCCGTGTGGCAGAACCTCGGGGCTCATTTCCTTTACCCCACTGCCTTTTATCTTCCCAGTCCCTGGGTCTGGTGCTCTAAGTTAGGCTCCTGTGATCATCACCTGCTGCTCAAGAGGAGACTGGCCCGGGGGAAGGTGATGCTGACAGTGGGCACCACGGGAGCTCCGCACACAGAGCCAGCTCAGGGGCCTCCTGGACCTCGGCCCAGGACGCTGAGGCTAGAGAGCCATCATCACTTAACCCCGAGACATCAGTCAATCAAGGCATCAGTGAATTAGTCACAGCCCAGAGGAGGAGGGTAAGTCTGGCTGCCAGCTGTCCTGCCTCAGCCTGCTGCTGAGTGCAGGTGCAGTGGGTTCTTCTCACAGGGAGGACGAAGGCGGACAGCAGTGCTCAGGGAGGGCCTTGGTGAGCACAGCCCACGCTCGGTGCTCGTTCCCAGCCCTGGGGGCTCGGCTAGCCTGAGCTTCTCACAGGGACTCGCAGTGGCTCCCAACAGCGGACCCTCGAGCTGCCCTTTGTGTCGCCATCTGGAGCCAGGTTCTGTGGCTGCCTGAGGAGTCTGTTTCCCTTTCCCACACGTGTTTCCAAGGCATCAGGAGGCGAACTCGGAAGGTGCTGTGGTGGACCGGGTCTGCAGAGGACGGAGCTTTGGGAGGAGACCCTCTGAAAAGAAAGTTTGATCTTGATGGATGAGGGACATGGCCTGAAATCAGCAAGAGGAGTCTAATTAAGTAGCTCATGTAGGGAAAAAGAAAACATCGTATTCAGCTGGGTAAAATCTGGCTTCCTTAACAGGGCTGAGCAGGGTTCTGGGACTTGGCTAAAAACTCGATTATGAATCATGCAAATGTGTTGAAATGACAGTAGCTATTCAGTTCTACATAAGTAGCTTTCATCAGCCCTACATCAATAGACTAGCACACATAAAATCACTCTAGAAAGACCACTTCCTCATTTTTGCGTGAGACAATGAAGTGGGCACTGGATAGAAGCAAGAATAGCAGATTTGGAAAACAGAAAAGCCCCACACAACTCATGGCATGGGGCTGTGTATCCCTGATGCCCAGAAAGAGGAGAGAGGAGACAGCAATCTGAAGAGGACATATGCTCTCCGGGGTCCATCAACTGAAGGACCCTGGGCTGTTTCTCCTGCAGGGACAGAGGGGCTTCCCTCCCGGGCCTCTGCCTTTGCAGCAGACAGAGCCCAGCTCGGCGGTTCTGTAGGGACAGGGTATGGTCAGTGCACGTATTCTGTGAAGTCTTCAGGTCACTGTGCAGCTGACTGAAGTGTCCCCTCACCATCCCACCCTGCCGTAGGCGTCAGGGACACAGCCCTGATGGGTCGGTCAGCAGTGTGATTGCTGACCTGGCCCCACACAGACGCCCTCATGGCTGTTGATGCTGCCTACCGTGCGCGAAGCCCCTGCAGGTCCCTCACTGGAAGCACAAGCTGGGAATCTGAAGTAATTCCATCGCAAGCGCAGGTCCCAAGCCCCTCTCTGTCCCTGCCACCCTGCATCTCCAACATGAGAGGCCAAGCATGGACCGCCGGTCAGCATCATCACTCTGCCCGCTGTATTGCATTGATTTAGGGCCCTAGCACGTGCATTTTAGCTTTATGAAGAATACCACAGTCTGTGTGATGCTCTGGGGCTTGCTTTTGCTCCCCTGTGGCCCACACCTGTCTGTGCGGATGTGTATTATCGGGTTGATTCATTTTTGCTTCTGTGTAACCCTCCACCGAGCCACTGTGGTAGAGTGGATCCACCTTCTGTTGATGGACACTGGGTTATTTCTAGGTTTTTGCTGTGTGAACAATGCCACCACAGACATCCTAATCCATTCACCCTACCAGAAGGAAGCATTTTTCCTGGATAATTTTCATCGCCATTTAAACACTCAAAGCTAAATTCACCCTTCCCAACACTTGCTCCACGTTTTCTTCCTGGTACCATTAGATATCTAACTGTACTTTCCAGCCAAGGGTCCCCGTGGTTCTATGTGGAGTGTCTCTGCTGTCTCATCTTCAACATAATCTTGTCTGCCTCCGTAACTGACACTCCACCCAAACTACTTCTGCTGAGCTCCTCAGTGACTTCCGTACTGCCAAATCCAGTGGACCTTTCCCCGAAGTCTTATTAGAGTCATTGGCCAGGTTTGATTCAACGGAGTGCTTCTTCCTCCTTAAAATCCTTTCTCCTTTTGGCTTCCATGTTGCCACATTCTCTTGGATTTTCCCTCTTTCTATCTGTATTTTAGCTCTTTCTCCCTCACTTACTACTTAAAGGTCAGTATTGGGATTTGTCAGAGGTGAGTCCTATGTCTCTTCTCCCGTTCCTGACTACTCTCCCACAGGTGGCCCTGCTTGTCCCTGGGGCCTCAGGGACATTCTCAATGGTGCCACCTTCAAGCTCAGAAGGATCCCAGCTTCTGAGAGTGGATGACAGATTATATCTCCTCCTGTTTAGACCCCTGGGGCTTCCAGTTCATCCATGACTTGCACGTATCAGATCTTCTACCAGCCGTATTTCCTTCACACCTAACATTTGTTGGAGCCAATTTTTTTTTTGAGAGCCGAAATAATTTTATTCCCTTCGGGGGCAGCCAGGCGACATCAGAACTGCTGGAAGTGCGTCTTGATACCAGTGGCCTTGGTGGCCTTGAGCACGTTGAAGCCCATTCATCTTTGTGGAAACCCAGTATCTACTTTTCTGCAGCAAGCAGTAAAAGGACTTTACAGACATTTTTGGTCACCGAATGTGACAATGCCGCCCATCTAGACGTCCCTGAAGCAGGGCGATGGGTGCACAGACTTGTTCCTAAGGTGCTTCTCAGAGCAATTGTATCTGCAGATGTAGTGGAGATAGTTGTGGTGGATGACAATGGTCCTCTGCATCTTCACCTTGGTCACCACACCAGACAGGATCCGGCCTTGGATGCAGACATTGCCAGTGCAGGGGCATTCACTGTCAATATCCGTGCCCTCGACGGCCTCTGTGGAGGTCTCGAAGCCCAGACCAATGTTCTTCCAGGACCGAGGGAGCTTCTCCTTTCGTTTCTCCCCACAGGACCCTCTGGGTGACTTTTGCCTTCCTGTGGAGGCTCATTTCCTGCGGTGTCCGTCTCAGACAACAGTCCTACTCACTCGTGTGCCCCAGCTCCAAACCCCAGCAGTCGCTGGCTTGCGTGCTCATTTCTGCGGTCTGTTTGGCCTGAAATCCCTGCTCCTTGGCCTGTCACCTCTGAGTCCCGAAGGTCCCAACTCCATCGTGGCACCCAACACCAAAGCCACGGTCCCTGTCCCTGGAGGCTGAAAAGGCTCTTTGCTGGCTCCTGGCCCTCCCTTGCCCAGCTCTCTCAGCCTGGCTGTTCTCTGACCCTGGCACTCTAGAAAGAGGAGCCATACCTGGCGCCGCTGCCTGCTGGAAGCCCTCCATGGCTCACCATTGCCCCAGAGCAAGGCCGTGCTGCCTGGCTTCGGGGGCCACTGCTGCTCTGGCCCTGGGCCCCACTGTCCTGCTGCCGCCTTTCACCCTGCTCCACACCGTCTCTGCCATCACAGTGCCTTGGCACCGAGTCCTCTTGCCATTCCCACTCCTAACCCGGCTGACACTTTCTCTCTCCCCAGGCCTCAGCTTGAAATTCACTTTTGCTCAAATGTGGCAGTGGTGGTGTAGCAGGATCCAACCTTCTTTTTCAATTCCAGAGTAATACAATTTACTTATTAAATTAGGAAATATAGATAAGCCAAAAATATCAACCATGATCCCACCACTCAGGGATGAATATAGCTAATGTCTTTCCGAAGCTTTTCTCTGTGAACAAAGCATGGGCACCAGTTGTTCACTGGCCACAGGCCCTGTAATGGTGGGAGCCCTTCTGTGCTGAACACCTCACATCTAATCCACGCCAGGACCCCTTCACCTTGCCATATCTCTGGGGCTCTGTGGGCATTGGAAACGGTGCTGCCAGTGACGTCTTGCAAGTGTCCTGCAGTCCCGCTGCCTCAGTCTCCCTGTTCTCGTCCCTTGTGTCCACTCAGGCACTGGACAGCTCCCCTTCCTTGGTCCTGGGCTTCCTCTTGTGAAGGGTGGGGCTCAGGGCTGGAAACTGTCATGGAAAAGCACAGCATGCTCTGAAGACGTCTCCGTGTTCAAAACCCCCTACAAGCCTCGTCCTGAGGACCCTAGCTGTCCAAGGGGGAGGCAGCGCCTCAGGGCTGAGTCCTGCTAGGGAGGGACTCGGTGTCCTGTCTGTGCCCGGGTTCTTTCCAGGCCCGGTTCTGGAGGGTCTTGGTCTCCACACTGAGGCCCACTCAGGCATCTTTCCTAAGCAGCAGCACTCGAGGCTGGAGAGAAGCCTGCCCTTCCCGTGGTGGGCAGGAGCGAAGTGGACCAGTGGTTGTTGCCAGCAGCAGCTTCTCCTTTCTTGGTACGTAGCTGCTTTGTATTCCCTCCCCTGAATGGTGTCACACAATGTTTACTGGTTAAGCTTGGCTTTGTCCACTTAAAAACCAGTGGGGAGCATACTCTTATGAGGGTGTGTGCAACGTGGCACGTGTGCAACAGTGAGTGAACGCAGCACAGTGGAGCAGGGAGTTCGCTGTCCCCTGCCCGGCTCCCAGGAATGCAGATTCTCAGCTTTGGGCCAGGCTAAGCCCCTGCCTATGCCTGAAAGGCTGGGACATTAGAAGGACAGATTTTATATGCCTTGGATAAGAAGCAGAGAGCAAATGTTTTCATTGGAAAACCTGTAAAAGATAATTCTGTAAGTTTATATTGCTATTTAATTGGTGCTTTGAAACAGCTAGCTCTACTTATTAAATAGCCAAAATGTAAAATGTAAAATGCTTTTCCACAACAGGGTGCCTCAGGAGAGCTCCTCTGTCTGGGCTGAAGTACGAGGCCCTAAGCTGCCTACATTTTTATAGGAAGTTCACATAGCAATTTGGTGGTTTTAGGAATTAATATAGACTCATCTCTTCTTAGTTTTCCAAATATTTAGTATAAAATTCTCAATCAGAAAGTTCTCTAAGCAACTGAAATGTATCTATATGTGTATCTACTGTATGTACTTAGATATTTTGTTATATATTTTTCCAAATCTTTCCTCTGCATGCATATCATAAATATCATACACATATTAATGTACATACATACATATATATGTAAGACTAACATGTCTTTTGCTTTTGATTCATGAAGAACATAGTTTAGTTGGGCTATTACTTATTGCAAGGGTGTCATATACTAATGGTCCAGATCAAGTTAAAAGGTGTGAAACAGTTTGATTTGAAATCTCAAGGAAATATAGGAAAAATACAATTCTACTGATTTTCTTGTTATAGAAGATTATAATGAATGAGCTAATTTTTTTCATTGAAAACAAATCAGAACTTAACTTCCCGAATTACCTCTAAATTGTTTCATTTTCAAGCTCTTAAAATTGTTAATTTAGTAAGTAATTTGTTCATGTGCCACTGGGAACTGCTTTATGGTCTTCCTCTTAAAACAGAGCAGGATGAAATAATGCACTCCGAAAAGGTTCACCAGGTAATACGCTCATGTGTTTTCATCAGCAGCTGGAGTGGAGGGGACCAAAGAGAGACACAACCATCTCCTCAATCCAGGTTCATTTGTAACCTGAGATCGCTCCCAAGTAGGTTGCGAGGTAGATACAGATGTGCGAGTTTTCCACACAGACACCAGGAAAGGCAGCAGTCTACGCCTTGACACCAGTGTGTTAGACGTGTCTTGACAAAAGCACTTCTGTGTTTGTGGTGTTCCAACCACACCACTGTAGCACACAGCCCTGGGCTGGGTATGGACGCTGCTCTGCGTTTTGACAAGAGCCCAGGAGAGGTTTACCCATCCTTAATCCAGAATGTGCCCAAATCTGACACGTCTTGAGTGCCACATCACACTGCAAAGGGAAATTCCACACCCAGCCTCTGAATACTAAAAACATTGCTTAAAGTTACCCTAGACCATGGGTGTAAGGTACAGATGAGGTATGAATGTATTTCGTCTTCAGACTTGGTCCCAGCCCTCATTACATACATGCCTCCCTCATTATATGCATGCAAATGTTCCAAAATCCAAAAATATTCCAAAATCCGAAGCACTTCTGGTCCCAAGTATTTTGGATAAAGGATGCTCTACCTACATTGTAGAAATCAAAGGATTTGAACCTGAAATTAAACCAAAAAAATCTAGAAAGAGATAAATACATTTCCAAACAGTCAACTGAAAGGACCTTTTTCACAAATAAGATTTAAAGTAGTAATAACCACTGGTTTTTATGTCTTTCATGCAGTTCAAATGAGAAGTCTTCCATTTATACCATGAACAAGTTTATTAGGTAAAATTCACAGAGACCAGTTAATATTGGTATTTGTTAAAATATATATTAAAAAAAACCCCAAACTTTTAGGAGTATTTCAATGCCCATTTCAGTGTTCAACTTCAGAGTTGGTGGAACCTGAATTTTTCTCTAATTTCTTTGTGATTTGAAAAACCATTTACATCAAGAGGCAGCTGGAAACTGGAGCTAATCCCCCACAGTAATGGCAGGGTGGGAGGACCTGGTGGAGAAAGGCTGCTCACAAAGGCAGCCGGGAGCAGAGAGAAGGGAGGACTGGGCAGGGAGGTCCCTGGGGCCGCAGCCCAGCTGCACTTAGCCCTGAGCTCTTCCACTGGCAAATCCGCTGAGGCCTGTAGCACCCCTGACCCGAGCGCCTTTTAAAAGCCTTACTGCTGGAGCCTGCATGGTAGTGCAGGCCTGGGATCCCAACGCTCAGGAGGCCGAGGTAGGAGGGTCGCCAGATTGCATGAGCTTGGGGCCAGCTGGGGCTGCTTTGGGGGGCATTCTACATCTAAACCATGACGGCAGGTTACCCTCCCTCCGGGACGAGCCTGGGCCCACCAGTCAGCTGAAGGCTGCAGGGTAGAAAGGACGGCTCTCCTTCGGAAGGAGATCTGCCACAGGGCGTGGAGTCCAGCCGGCCTCAGGGTTTCCTTGGGTCTCCAGCCTGCTGACTCTCGCTTGCCCGCAGAATTCGGACTTATGTCCTCCACAGCTTCGCAAGTCAGTTCCCTAAGTATGCACCTGTCCAACCCAAATGGTGGGGCCAGGTCCCGGCACAGGGCACACGCCTCGAAAGTTGATGATGTCCCCAGTCAGAGAGGGCGCATAGAGCCCTGTCACAGCTCAGCTCAGCAAATGCTCCGCCTCTCGCGAGCCCTGTGCGGCTCCAGGCGGCTCAACACAGCAGAGCTGGGAGGTGCAGTTTCTATCGTATGCTCGTGGCTTTTGGCCACCGTGACTTGGAAGAGCTGCGGGCAGGGGCCGGTGTGAGTGGACAGCTGTGTCCCCTGGCCCCAGACAGTGCTGCTGATGCCCTGGGGACCTGGCCTGCAGGCTGCAGAGTCTCTGTCTGCACCCGACCCTGCGCTGGCCCTGGGTTTGGCTCCCGGTGGGAGGCGTGTCTCACTGTGACTCAGGAAGCTGGGGGACTCGGAGGAGTGTGGAGCTGGCCTTGCTGTAGCTGAAGCGGGACCTGCCCAGCGTCCTCGGCCGTCTCAGAATTCGGCTCCTTAACTGACCTGTGACGCGATGGTTAGGTGCCCTTTTGGCCAGAGCCAGACCCTTTAGACCCTGTGTTTCTGTAGGAGCACGGAGTGGACTTGCCAGGGAGTGTTCCTGTCCTCTCTCCTCCCCCCTCGGCCTGTCCTTGGAAGGATCAGGTGCACTGGCAGCTGGGCTCCCTCTCTCCGTGGAGGGCAGGGAGGCTGGGCCCCGAGTCCCCAGCAGGAGTCAGGCTGAGCTGGGGCCCCGGGCCCGAGAGAGACAGAAACGTCTTCTCTTCGTAGTCCTCTGCCTGGGGTCAGTCCGACACCAGGGCTTCCAGGCACATCTGCCCTTAGCCTGGGGTGGGGAGGCCTTGGCTGTGGAGCCCACACACGACAGACTCCTGCGTCACCACTGTGGGGCATGGCACCGTTGGGAAATGTCTTCTCCAAGGACAATGACCAAGCCTGTCCTTGGAGTCAAGGCCGAGACAGAGGTGCCTGTGCAGAGCTAATTCAGACCCTTGGTCTCCCATGAGAACCACCCCCCCCAAATGGAGAGGATGCGCAGGCTGCCCGGGCTGCCCAGGGTAACTGGGTAGTTGTCCTTTCACCGCTCATCCCCTTCCTGAGGGGCCTGATAGAGTGGGGATTGGCGACATTCAACGATTCAATCTCAGCCATATAAAGACAGAAAACACCAAGCACTTAGGCATACTGGAGAACTCAGCGAGGGAGGAAAATAAAGTTCGTCCTTAATGATATGTAGAAACAGACTTGTTCCAGGGAAGAAATCTTGTGCCTTCTTCTTTCTCAGTTATGTCACTGTAAAAGGAAAATAATCCCCCTGTTCCTCCTTCTCTCTACGA